AAATAAAAGCACACAAGGTTTGTGCAGTGATCTGGTTCACACTCCTCACAGTTCCAATAGTACATCTTCTTATAGACCCTGGTGACGTCACCTTCGATTACAGGGTGTATAATTCTTCCTATCGTTACTCGGCAAGGATATGGAAATTACTATCACCAACAGTAGCCATACTCGTGCTGTTTGCTCCAACCATCGTAATCATTGTTTCAACAATTCTACTGCTAAAAGAAGCAAGGAAAGTTGTTAGAGGAACTCAAGAAAGTCTACGCTGGCAAGGAATCACGACTGTTGTTCTTACTGCAACTTTGTTCACCGTAAACTGTCTTCCCATGACTGTGTACCTTATAGCTAAACCTTTAGTAGAAAATAAAGAGCTGGTTACAGGGCCTTTTTCCGGAGTCTTCTACAGAATAGCCGCCCAAATCATTAACATCAACGTTCTTTCCAACTTTTTTGTGTACAGCCTGACTGTGTCAAGCTTTAGGAATTTCTTGAAGACGAGGATTCGGATAATCTTCCCGTGTCTTTGTCGAGGTAACTTTAATTACACTTTTTAAATTCTTTTGAGACTTTTATTTGACTCTTAGGTGTACGCAGACCGAATCCCTAGCGCACCAAATCCCTAAAGCCCTAGTCCCTACCTTTAACCTAAAACCTTAAGGCATCAGGTCACCGGGTCACGTTCCATATCTTGTCAGACTTTATCTAGAGTGCGCGCTGCATGTAAAAAGTTCAGTACCCACGTAATGTCCGTCAGAATTTTCGACTTCTATGTACTTTCTAGCACCCATAATTCTATATCCCCTGATGTAATCATACCTAACACTTCTCCATGCCCGCAGGTACGATACAGAGAGAGAGGAGAGATCAGCATAGGACGAGATTCCGAGAAACTGCTTTGTGATGGCGGAACATTCTGACGAAGAGAAACGTTTTCATCGATAACTATAATTAATATTTGTGGTATGATACAATGTATCAGCAATTTTTAACACTGAGTTGTGAATTTTGAATGGATTTGATTTCAATATAGTATTATCTTAATAGGAATGAAAATTTTGCATAAAAAATACTAAATTTAGCCCTAGGCCGTTCATGGAGCTCGGTTTTCAACTTTCCATAAATATTATATCAATTTAAATAGAAAGTGTGGATTTTCCGATAATTGAAATTGGTACACGGATATATCGTCACCACAAATCACACCACCTCAACCTCATTTCAGAAGAAGGTGTAAATTAAATTAGCGTGTTTATTGCTTTTGATTGGATCTTGGTGTTTTTATTTCTTTTTAGCTTTTCGTTCTTGCGATGCGACCAAATCTTTGACCACAGTTTCCACAGTTTCCAATAATATGGTACAGAATAACTTAAAATGTCCATAAGTTCAATTAGAGTCTTATTTTTATGGTACAAATACAGTTTATTGATTACAATTTCTAAATTCTATATTAAAGTACATGACAGTTTAGTAAGTAGCTGATTATTATGAAGTATAATATTAAGAAGTGTTCGAGCTCTCGGCATGTCAGCATGTGTTCACATAGTCATAACGGACGTGAGCCATGTCCGAAAGGGGCTGGTTCTCGTATCAGCCACTGCGATACCATATTCACCGTGATTGGATCTGCCTATTGATTATTCGACTGCTTTTAGATGGTTATAATTGGGTTAGCTAGTCAGAATAAGATGTCGGCCCCTATTTTTAATGATATGGTTTGATTATAATCATACATGGTTTGTTATATTTATAGCTGTGGTCAGTTTACTACCGCCCTCATCAGATAAAAATTTCAGTGCAATTGTTTCATATTCTAGCTCAAACTTAGCTCTCCTTCAAAGTTTTATCGGTTTTCAAAAAAACAACAATTTCAAAGTTTGGCAATTGGCACCGGTAGTCTCTTAATAAGTTTAACGTCTTTGTGCTTTCAGTCTCGACTTTACCTCATCGCATCATGACTAATATGCACGGAGTACTATAGGGCTACGGGGCAGAGTTTGTTGACATACCACCACTATTGTGCACCAAAGAAATATATCCATTATATTGATTCCGATGTAATGAGGGACAGTATAAACTTCAAAAGTTTGAGAGCTGGAAGATTAAACAATTTTTGGTTTTGGTTTTTTGTCACCATTCATCACATCCCAGGAGTTTTACCGCCTCTCATTATGACAAACAATTGATACTCCGTACGTTCTTTGAATGAAATATAATAAACAGACAGTCGATGCCCTTTACCTGCCTCACAGAGTGCCAATCGGTAACTGCAATTACAGTAACGAGAGCTGACAACGTGACGTTATTAATTTTCCTCCTCCAGGACCGATGTAATGATTGCTTGTTGTAATAAAACACGTAGACTTTCTTGAACTAGATCAATCATAAAAGGGACCTATAGAACAATCATGAATAGGTTAGTACATATGAATAATCAATATGATATAATACTATACTACAACAACTTCCCTTTTAAAAGTCTATGACTCCATCTCCCTTCTAACATCGCGTCTTACATACAGTACCATTCGAAAATCAACTTTATCACCATGTTTGAAGTTAAATATCATTTGTCTTAGAATTGTTTTTGTTTCGGTTTCGAGTAGTTACATCTTGCCGCAAATTCAATGTCGAAATTCAAAATTTCGGAGCCTATGAGCGAATATAATGATTTTCATCTGAACAGCTTACTTTTAAAACTTTTCGGCTCCGAATATTAACCAATATTAACTGCTGATTAATTAGCTTTCGATATTTGGTTAATTATCGTGCTGGAATGCTTCCAATGCGATACATCTAGCGAGCCTGATTTTTTAGATGCACGGTCTTATGAATCGGTCTTTGCAATTTCTACTCAGTTCTTATTATACGACAATTTTTTCTTGATTCACGACTCTTGTGCCGTAGAAAGAAAAATGTCAAGGACAAGGGTTGGCGAAAGAAAAATGTCATACCATAAAACCATGATACCAAGAATACCGGACCTAAAATAATTTGGCATTGGGTTCGGGCCAAATTGTTGCCCGCAGCCCAACCACTGACCAGTACCCTCACTTCATGATATTGATTATAATTGATTTCGCTGGATATTGGTATCATGTAATCCCTGGATTGAGATCTGTTGGCTGCAGTTTCATTTAGCTCATTTCCTATTATTTCAGCTGCCTCGAGATCTTGTCTGGGGCATTAATACTAGAACATTATAACTGAAATCCTAAGACCTCACATTAAGATTACTTGGCCGAATACCATAGATTCGACCGAAGGCATTCAGGTAACATACACATTATATACTCAAAAACGCTCAGTTTAGGAATAGAGAATTACCTATACTGCATGATATGTAAAAACTCCCAGTTTTCCTTGACTTGAGCATACTAAGTCTTGTTATTCTTGTAACCCACTGGAATTTGGGCCACTGAATCAAAAAAGACCTGATATTAATATTAAAATGTCGGGAAATTCATTGGTTATTTTCTGATTTTTCAATTGTTCTACGAATCCAAGTTTGATTTTATAACACTGAATCTCTTGTCCTTTCAAAAAGAGGAACCTAGCCCTAGGAGTAGGAGCCAAGGTAAGTAACTTAAAAGTATTACCAAGATGTGATTTGTCCCACAAATTGTCCCACATTCAAACGACGATTTGGCGCCCCCTAAAATGACGCCCCTCCGGCTCCAGGGTCTCCCGCTCCGTCTTAAACTTAAAGTTAAAGTTAAACAGCCCTTCCTGTTATTTAATGAACTGTTACGCTTTTTCGTACGATTACTATAGTTAGTGTTACCTCGTGGTTATACTAGGTTATATTATTATATTAAGGTAGGGGGTGCACGATAAGAATAAACTTACTCGGATTTTAAAAATTTTTGTACCACTGTTTTCTTGACGGATGTTACTCGTCTAAATTTCTTCGAAGTAGCGCGCGCCGCTTTCTTCTCGAAATGGCCCGACGGCACGAGCTACGAAGTAGCGCGCGCGCGCCGGGCCAGATCATTAACAATGGTCAACTGTTTTCTAGAGACTGTGAGAATTTTCACAATACCAAATTTGTCATACCTTTTTGGAAAGATCAGTGAGTTTCGCCTAGGTGCCATATTTGATGGTGCGCGGCTTTTGGAGCAAAAGTAGCTGTAAAAGTTGCGTAATTTGACCAAATTCGTCCAAATTTGACCATTTTTGTCGTGTTATTCGGATTTATTTATCTTCAGTTCTTTAAATGAGATCATTCTGGAAATTGGCGACGACCTTCCAATAGAGCTTTCACAACTGTCCGAAAAATTTGGTGGATATCGGAGTTGATATAGTGATCAAAATGGGGCAAAATACGCTGCTTTTAGTTGTAACATAATGTCTGAAGGTTGGATATGCTTTAAATTTTTCGGACACTTTCCTCACTCCTGCGCGCAGTGTTGTGACCTCCCTTCGTCGTAATTAGCTCGTATTCAGATTGAACAATTTTGAAGTCAAATAAATGTTGTTTCTTTTAGACTTAAATAAACAATATGGATGTAGTCCGAAAGTAATTTGTCTACTAAATAACATTTTGAAACTATGAACAAAATTGGCGAAAATTTGCCGTAGATGTGACCAAAAAACTACGCGCAGAACTAAATATTTCTTCATAGACGCGTGAAAATTTTTGAGTTTAACATTGAATATTTTAGCTTGGTTATTGTAATACTTAATTTTCAAGTCTCTATCCGATAACTAAATATTTTATCTTTACGACAGTATAAAATTTGTTTGTATATTTGCTAAATTAAAAAAACAGTAGGAATAGAAACGTCGAAGGTCTTGCGCTTATTTCAGTCCCAAAATATACTCTAATCATAAACTTCATAAAACCCACTGAAAATGATGTCTACAGGCATATTAAGCCCTTGCACCTTCCCAAATCATTTAGCAAGGATTCAGAGCCAGTTTTTAAAATTAGCTTTCGAATATCATTGTTAAGACATAAAACTATAAATAAATGAGTGCATTTTTCTCTTTCGTCTCGATAGTTTCTCTTTCATTTTAACATTATACATTAGTAAAAGCAATCAGCGATCTTTATTAATCATATAAAGAGTAGAGTAATTGGTCCTCGTCAATGTTTAGTGTCTGATTACAGTTTCGGTCCGACCTCCACAACTGAAAAGATATTGGGGGTATTATCAGTTATGTAAATGGAAAAATTATATTTGCATCATAAAACTATGAAAACATTGAAACTAATGTTTTTGAAGGCTCGCCTATTCGTTTAAGCAATCAAATAGTCAGTGCATGCACAGTAAAGAACAGTTGAAGGCACCGGGAATGTTTCAAATATAACCTCTGTCTACTATCAAGTATCAGACCACACACTCCACTATCCACTATGTACTATAATGTACAATGGCAATGAAAATGTGTTCCCGCCATTTTATTTTTAAAATGCGCGCATCTTGCGCCGTGACCATGGTGGTCACAGCGCATGCTGGTGAACGGAGGTAGGCTGGTGAACGAGTTATTGGGACAAAATTGGAACATTTTGGAACATTGGTTACATCGGTTGTAGACATGCAGTGATGCCCAAACTTGGTTTGAGTGGTCCTAGGACCAATCTAAACGCTTTCCGGCCAGTTTTAAACCGTTCTGAGCACTTTTAGTTTTAGGAGAATATTAATTTTTGTTCATTTTCGTGCATTCCATGAACCTGGGTAATTTTCATGCTCATTGGAATTTAGAAGGTAAAATAACTCACATAACAGTGCTCCCGACAAGTTTCACGGATATAGTGATTGAGTTTCTAGTCACCTAGCCTCTTGGCCTGAAAGATTTCTTGTTCGGCAGGGTGACTGCTTGAACGTCAACTTCAACCTTTCCCACTGTGCACTGCATCGAATCGAGGTAGAGTTGTTAACTGAAATATTACATTCAGTCTAGCGACCTTTAAATCTGGGTCAAACTTAGTATTTCTGAAAGTTTCGCAAAATTTTATTGATTACAGAGGGTGTGTCACGCCACTCTCTCGTTAAGATCTTGCAGATGTTAGCACCATACCGTACCTGTTCATTATAATAAGATAATAGCCCTAGACTATTGCATGAGACAAGCCTTAAGCAAGCACCCTGAAATAGGATTTACCATTAAGCCTTATAGGAGTAGGAGAGTCAAGGTGGAGAAGATATCGGTCACTGGTTTTGTGGATGACATTGCTCTGATAGCAGATACTGAAAAGGAGACAGAGACGCTGATGCAAGAGATAGAAAGGGTTGCTGCCACAGTGGGACTTAGAATGAATGAAGGGAAAAACTAAATTCATTACTCAGAACATCGAGAACCCTGATACCATCAAGTCTCTGGGTAACCATGCTGAAAGAAAGCCTGTCTCTGAAGAAGGAGAGACGATAAAAACGTGATACGATACGGTATGTTGAAATAAAGCCTGTCTCTGAAGAAGGAGAGACGATAAAAACGTGATACGATACGGTATGTTGAAATAAAGCCAGTCTCTGAAGAAGGAGAGATGATAAATACGTGATACGAAACGGTATGCGAAAGCTATGTAGTTGATCAGACTTAAAGTTACGTGTTCTTATTAGGGTGATAGGTTCTTTAGTAAGGCCGACTGATTAAATGAGGCTCTGAAATGAACAGGAATCTAGCAATAATAGCATGGAGAGTGGGGAAAATCAAAACGCGGAATAATAATCTAACTCTAAGTTAATGATAAACTGGTACAGAAATCAAAAGTCTAGGAGTAGGAAATAACTGTGAACCAAACTGTAAACAAACAGAATGGCACCCGTGCATGATATGTTAAAATATGTACCGTTCTAGGATGCCTCCGCAAACTTTTGCTCCTCTGTAAATGCACGTGTTAGTGCTGTAGCGAAGGAGGGGGTGTCATGTCCGTCTATGTCCGCCTATGTCCTGTCCTTTTTGGATTCTATGAGACAACGGACGTGTTTTTTGGGACATTGGCGGACACGGACGGACATTGGCGGACTCGGACGGACATTGGCGGACTCGGACGGACATTGGCGGACTCGGACGGACATTGGCGGACCCGGACGGACATTGGCGGACTTGGATGGACATTGGTGGACATTAGCGGACATTGGTGGACATTAGCGGACAAACATTTTAAGGACTGAAGAGTACTGAAGAGTACTGAAGAGTACTGAGGAGGAGGGCTGAGAAGGATGGCTGAGGAGGATGGCTGAGGAGGATGACTGAGGAGGATGACTGAGGAGGATGACTGAGAGGGAGGAGAAGGATCAGGAAGACCCAGGAGGAGGAGGAGGAGGAGGACCCAGAAGGAGGACCTAGGAGGAGGAGGAGGAGAACTGAGGAGGATGACTGAGGAGGAGGAGGACTCAGGAGGAGGACTGAGGAGGACTGAGAAGGAGGAGGACTGAGGAGGATGGCTGAGGAAGATGGCTGAGGAGGATGACTGAGAGGGAGGAGGAGGGGGAAGAGGAGGAAGAGGACTGAGGAGGAGGAGGAAAAGGACTGAGGAGAAGAAGGAGGACCCAGGAGGAGGAGGACCCAGGAGGAGGAGGACCCAAGAGAGGACCCAGGAAAAGGCCCCAGGAGGAGGAGGAGGACTGGGGAGGAGGAGAACTGTTGAGGACTGATGAGGAGGACTGAGGACGAGGAGGAAGAGTAGGAGGAGGACTGAGGAGGGGAGGAGGAAGAGGACTGGGGAGGATCAGGAAGACCCAGGAGGACCCAGGAGGAGGAGGAGGAGGAGGACCCAGGAGGAGGAGGAGGACTCAGGAGGAGGACTCAGGAGGAGGACTGAGAAGGAGGAGGACTGAGGAGGATGGCTGAGGAGGATGGCTGAGGAGGATGACTGAGAGGGAGGAGGAGGAGGAAGAGGAGGAAGAGGAGGAAAAGGACTGAGGAGGAGAAGGAGGACCCAGGAGGAGGAGGACCCAGGAGGAGGAGGACCCAAGAGAGGACCCAGGAAAAGGCCCCAGGAGGAGGAGGAGGACTGGGGAGGAGGAGAACTGTTGAGGACTGATGAGGAGGACTGAGGACGAGGAGGAAGAGTAGGAGGAGGACTGAGGAGGGGAGGAGAAAGAGGACTGGGGAGGATCAGGAAGACCCAGGAGGACCCAGGAGGAGGAGGAGGAGGAGGACCCAGGAGGAGGAGGAGGACTGAGGAGGAGGACTGACGATGACTGAGAAGGAGGAGGACTGAGGAGTACTGAGGATGGCTGAGGAGGATGGCTGGGGAGGATGGCTGAGGAGGATGACTGAGGAGGATGACTGAGAGGGAGGAGGAGGAGGACTCAGGAGGAGGACTCAGAAGGAAGAGGAGGAGGACTCAGGAGGAGGACTCAGGAGGAGGACTTAGGAGAAATGAGAAGGAGGACTGAGGAGAACTGAGGAGGAGGAGGAGGAGGAGGACTGAATAGGAGGAGGAGAAGGAGGGGGACTGGGAGAGGACTGGGGAGGAGGAGGACTGATGAGAAGGATGAGGAGGAGGACCCAGGAGGAGGAGGACTGAGGACCGAGGAGGAAGAGGAGGAGGATGAAGAGGAGGAGGAGGACCCAGGAGGAGGAGGACTGAGGAGGACTGAGGAGGACTGAGGAGGACTGAGGAGGATGGCTGAGGAGGATGACTGAGAGGGAAGAGGAGGAGGAGGAGGAGGAGGACTGAGGAGAACTGAGAAGGAGGAGGAGGAGGAGGAGGACTGAATAGGAGGAGGAGGAGGGGGACTGGGGAGGACTGAGGAGGAGGATGGAGGACTGAGGAGAAGGATGAGGAGGAGGACTGAGGAGGACTGAAGACTCAGGAGGAAGAGGAGGAGGATGAAGAGGAGGAGGACCCAGGAGGAGGACTCAGGAGGAGGAGGAGGACTGGGGAGGAGGAGGACTGTTGAGGACTGATGAGGAGGACTGAGGACGAGGAGGAGGAGTAGGAGGAGGACTGAGGAGGGGAGGAGGAAGAGGACTGAGGAAGATCAGGAAGACCCAGGAGGAGGAGGAGGAAGAGTAGGAGGAGGAAGCATCTAAATGTTAGTTCCATTTTTGTCCGTTTTTGTCCGCTCTATTTTTTGTCCGTTTTGAAAATATAGGGTACCGAACGGACAAAAAACATGATCCCCTATAACAGCAAAAATTTTATTTAGCAATTTAGGTGTCCATTAATGTCCGCCTATGTCCGCCTATGTCCGCCTATGTCCGTCTATGTCCGCCTATGTCCGCCATTGTCCGTCTATGTCCGCCTATGTCCGCCTATGTCCGCCTATGTCCTGTCCTTTTTGGATTCTATGAGACAAGCGGACATAGACGGACGTGACACCCCCCCCCCCAGCGAAGGCTATGTAGTTGATCAGACTTCAAGTTACGTGTTCTTATTAGGGTGAGAGGTTCTTTAGTAAGGCCGACTGATTAAATGAGGCTCTGAAATGAACGGGAATCTAGCAATAATAGCATGGAGAGTGGGGAAAATCAAAAAGCGGAATAAATAATCTAACTCTAAGTTAATGATAAACTGGTACAGAAATCAAAAGTCCGAACACGGAGTTTAGGAGTAGGAAATAGCTGTGAACCTAACAAACAGATTGGCACCCGTGCATGATATATTAAAATATGTACCGTTCTAGGATGCCTCCGCAAACTTTTGCTCCTCTGTAAATGCACGTGTTAGTGCTGTAGCGAAAGCTATGTAGTTGATCAGACTTAAAGTTACGTGTTCTTAAGAGGGTGAGAGGTTCTTTAGTAAGGCCGACTGATTAAATGAGGCTCTAAAATGAACGGGAATCTAGCATGGAGAGTGGGGAAAATCAAAACGCGGAATAGATAATCTAACTCTAAGTTAACGATAAACTGGTACAGAAATCAAAAGTCCGAACACGGAGTCTAGGAGTAGGAAATAGCTGTGAACCAAACAAACAGAATGGCACCTGTGCATGATATGTTAAAATATGTACCGTTCTAGGATGCCTCCGCAAACTTTTGCTCCTCTGTAAATGCACGTGTTAGTGCTGTAGCGAAAGCTATGTAGTCGATCAGACTTCAAGTTACGTGTTCTTATTAGGGTGAGAGGTTCTTTAGTAAGGCCGACTGATTAAATGAGGCTCTAAAATGAACGGGAATCTAGCATGAAGACTGGGGAAAATCAAAAAGCGGAATAAATAATCTAACTCTAAGTTCTCCACTACCTGAATATTGATCGGGAACAGGTTAGCCGCGTATGTGGAAAGAGTGAGTTAGATTATAGGTAACAACGGGTAGTCTCAAGCTACCCGTCTTTGCACCGTAACTTAGCCATCTGATCTAGAAGAGGAAGGGAGGTTATCATCTACACATACTGTATTAGGAAGTTAATCGTGTCCTAGCTACAGATCATACCTTATTAAGAAGTTTATCGTATCCTGAAAAAAATACCTTATTAGGAAGTTTATCGTGTCCTAGAAACAGGCCATATAACAGAATTATCACTTTCTCCTCCTCCCAATCCACAGTATTCCGGAGTTTCTGCAACGTCACTAAAACTGCAAAACATTGTAAGTTCATATGTAGATTCTATAAAAGGTTTGAATTAAAGCAGAGAGGTTAATAAGCACTTATCATATTTAGATTATAGTTCAGTCAGTTTTTTTTGAGACGCCTCCATGAACCACCACGGGGCGACCTGCCCAGTAGTAAGAGCTGCCCAGTAGTAAGAGCTGCAGGAAATCACAAAAGCAATGAGGAATGTTGAAATTAAATGACTTTTGTCATTTATGGGTGCTTGTATAATAATTTTACCGCAAGATTTTGATAATCTTTGTAATAAACTAGTGCAATGATTGGACAAGTCACAATCAACAATGATAAAAGTGTTTTATATAAAATAACTTAAAGCGAGAATGTCGTTAGTTAACTATAAAATACAGTACCAAGCGATGTATTAAAGTAACACAATTATACTCGTTCTAATTGATATTAGCTTACTTTGATTCAACGAAAACCTACCTTTTATCTGCTTTCGTGAAATTCAAAAGTGATGTTAAAGTAACACGAGCCCTTTATAGCTTGCAGGGGTTCCTCCTATTATCGTTGATCAATTATGTACCAAGTACACTATGTAATACAGCAAAGTCGTCAGTCGATAACTGCTGTTAAAGCCATGAAAGTTCAAAGCGAGTGCAGAAACAAGAAATGGCGCGAAATCATAATGTTCAAGCCACACGTACAACGTATGATCTGCATTATGCTCCTTCATCAACTAATTCTAGTTTTAAACGATTTTGACACGCTAAAATGCGCGCGTGGATTTGCGCGGCGCGTAGAAAAATTTTAAAGCTGTCGGATAGAGGTTAATAAATTTTTCTACTGTCAACACAGCCCAAGTTATTCATGTTTTAATATCAAAAAATGTCCGATTTTTTTGTATTATTTTTAACTAATTTCCTTTTCAAATCGCTGCCACATCAAAATTATTTTACGAAAGTACATTAAATTTTTACAGAAAGCAAGCTGAATCGTTTTAGAACTAAATTAAAAAATAATTTAATATAAAAATGTTAAAACTTTAAAGTTATCGATGGAATAAATTGCCAACGTCCAAATATGTGTAAAATACGACGAATTAAGGGAGGTCACAACACTGCGCGCAGGAGTGTTCCTTGTAAGTCTATAAGTAAGCTTACCAATTTTTGTTGCAATTGGAAGTCGGGAAGGATACTTAATATCTATTTGTTTGAAAAAAATTGTGCTGGCCGAAATTAGCGCTAAAAAACCATCCTACAGTCGGCACGCGCGGCTCACTGTCGATGGCGCACTACTTAATTAAGGTATATAGTGCGCAATCGACAGTGAGCCGCGCGTGCCGACTGTAGGATGGTTTTTTAGCGCTAATTTTGAATTTCGGCCAGCACAATTTTCTTCAAACAAATAGATATTGAGTATCTTTCCCGACCTCCGATTGCAACAAAAATTGGTAAGCTTACTTATACTTATAAACTTACAAGGAAAGTGTCCGAAAAATTTAAAGCATATCCAACCATCAAACATTATGCATTATGTTACACTTACAGCTAAAAGCAGTGTATTTTGCCCCATTTTGATCACTCTATCAACTCTGATATCCACCAAATTTTTCGGACAGTTCTGAAAGCCCTGTTGGACTTGGAAGGTCGCCGCTAATTTTCAGAATGATCTCATAGTCATTCAAGGAACCGAAGATATATCCGAATAATACGACAAAAATCAACGAATTTGGTCAAATTACGCGACTTTTATGTTTTACAGCTAATTTTGCTCCAAAAGCCGCGCACCATTGAATATGGCACAACTCACTGATCTTTCCAAAAAGGTATGACAAATGTGGTATTGTGAAAATTCTAACAGTCTCTAGAAAACAATGGTACAAAAATTTTTAAAATCCGAGCAAGTTTATTTTTATCGTACACCCCCTAGTTATACTTATTGACGTTCAATCTGCGCGCCTTTGAGATCATAGCTTACTGCCTTACTAATACTATGCAAGATATGATAATTTTAAAGTATCAACTCACATTTTTTGAGACCATTGTTTATAGCTGATTTTCTTTACATAACTATAACTATAACTATAAGAATATGCGGTTTTCATACAACGTGTAATATTTTAATTCAGCGAAAGTTATGGCTAAAAGTAATTGATATTGATTTATCATAAGAACATGTGGATTTTTGTATCATGGTTCATTGCAACAGCTGCCATCCTCGGATCAGGTATTTTCAACTTTACTTTATCTATTTTGTCTCTGGAATGTGTACTTCCTTTATAAGTGGTGACTCCTTTCATGATTCATCATGTCAGGAATTTATTCGAGCGACCACTCATAAATTGTTTTTCAGCAACTGGAGTGATAACATGGACAGAAGATCAAAACACGCTGAGTGTTGCTAAAACAACCAATATTGACAGTCTTGTTACAGGGTCTCAACTTAACGTCAGGTAAGCATTTAGCCCTTTTAACGAATACTTCTAATACTTCTCTTCTTCTTCTAATACTTCTCTAGAGTTCTAAATCTAGGTAAACTATAGGTAAAAATATAATATTAATCATAAGCTAAAATGTACTAATCTTTGTATTCTAAATGGGGAAAAAGAAGAAACATTGTCAGTCAGTCGAGAAAATTGTCAGTCAGGCTACATGGCAGCTTTGTAGATGTTGTGACTATGCTAGTAGTGGTCCCAGGCTTGCGACTGGAATTGTCACTTTTAAGCACTAAAATTTTTGATTGACAGTACAAAGATTATGATTATACAATTTATGGTGTACATTTTTAGGGCCCAATTTAACAGTTCTAAAGAGGGAGTGATAAAGTTCATGACTGAAGCTGACTTAGTAGCTTTCTACCTAGCTGTAGCTACAGATGGTCTCACTATTATTTGCGGAAACGACAGAACCAAGGTTTAAGATCATAAACACACAAAAACAATATTCGTATGATACGATGGTGAAATTTGATGAATTTTATTCCAAAATTAACCTAGATAACTAATTTTACAAACAAATCACGCTCAATATTAAATTCAGTTTACAACAAAACTGAGATCACCGCTAAAAGAGGGTGAGAGTTACGAATACCAAGTGGATATTACAAATGAGGGATACTCGACTACTTTCCAGAGAGAAACGTTTCCGGTCACTCTCTACGCTAAGTCCGGTAAATTTAACTTGTAGTTGTAGTTTCACAAAAGGTAGTCTGGTAGTATTACAGTAGTTTTACACGACGTGCCTATCCTTATGCGCGACGCTCTTTTCGAGCATCTCACTCTATGACTATACGTGAGAGAAGCGAACAATACACTTGCAAGCTAGGTAACAATCCAACTATCTAATACTGTCCAATTTCAAGGCACATAGGATCTATGATTATGAAGAAAATCTACTAAAACGTTCATAATTGAACAATCTTATCATGAAAGATGTTTAATTTTACATGGGGACCCCAGGCTATAATGTTTATAAACATAGAGATTCGGTGGAATGACAGGCTGAGCGCCGCACAGTAAGAAAAATGTGTTTGACCAAGCTGTTGCAACTTGCATCATGTGTCAATCAAGAAAATTACTTTTCCTTTTTCGATATTTATATCAGGCCGCAAATTTACATGATTACCATAATGGGAATAAACAATAGTATACCAAATATGAGTCAAATCAAATATGTCTGGTAATTACTGGGCGGCGCTCAGCCTGTCATTCCGCCGAATCTTTATTCATTTAAACATAATAGCCTGGGGTCCCCAGGTAAGTCTGGTAACTACTGTTAACTAAGTTGGTAACTACTGGTAAATACTGGTTTACTATACTGGTAACTAATAGTAACTACCGGTATAGTAAATACTTATTATTACTAATAATTACCGGTAAATACTTGTTAATGTTATAGTTCTTTCCGGGAATTATATCCCTGAAATTAAGTCGTGAACACTGGTAACCGATAATTCCCCGCAAGGGTTGCCAGCGTATTATTAGGACATACTGCGAGTCACCTCAAACTGGCTGCAGCTGGCGGGAAGTTTCAAAACAAATAATTTTAATTGTATAGTTGCGCACTATTATATTATTATTAATATATCATACTGCACTAACATATATATTACACACTATATGGTATCAAAATCACATACCTTAAAAAGAACATATAATTAATACCATCTACCGCAGTGCCATAAATTTAGTCTTAATTTTGACTAAATTTTTTCGGCGGCTAATTTAAAAGCTGGCTAAAATTTAAGTAGAGCAAGAAAATTACATTAATTATGATTATTGATTAATGTAATGACATCACCGTTCCTACTGCTGAACTACTTTGTCTATTACAGGTGTAATCAACCGCTTTTAGTTTTATGCTTTCACATTCTCTTACTTCCTTTTCCCATCAGGCAGTATATACATTTAGTTTAAAACTCATTGAAGTAAATATGTAAAACGACCCCTTCTAGAATTTAGCCTTAAAAATCGCTGCTAATGCTATATGTGGTAATGATATGTGCGAAATAGAAAGAATCTAGCTATTAAGCAATGGAAAAATCAAATAAATGGAATGGAAAATGGTCTCGAAAAGTCAAAAAATGTGACTAAAATAGTTGTAGACTAACAAATGGTAACCAAAATTTTTGTAACCATATGTATTGTGAACCAAATTTATTGTCCTTAAGGTAACACAGGCTTCGTGCCCCGTGATCCCTCCGCTAAAGCGTCGGGAATTATCGCGGGTAGCTCTCAACAGTCAACAGCCAAGATATTATTGTATCATAACTACTGATAACTCTCCTAGACTGGCAGTGTATGCACGTGGATACAGACTTTGCAGGTTACGATATACACGAGGGGTACTCTTCTGGAATCGCGGACTGTTATAACAGGTACCTTATTGGACGTTATTTGACCGAAGACGCGAACCTAAGTAATGTTTATAAATTTACGTACTTACTTAGCACCACCAAAATTTGAACGGACATTTAGAAGAACGGACATTAAAATGAACGCTTGGGCCTATTATATATAGCGTCCAACTAATAATGTCCGTTCAATTAAATTTTGATAAAGTATATAGATAATTTTTATAATTAATTTATAGACTATGAGTATACTGCATTGTGCATCTAGCAAGGCTTTCACTTTCAATTTATATATATTGATATTTTATCTATTATTTTTATTCACTTTTTAAAAAATATGCAACCTACCGAAACCGATGGTGCCCGCATTCGGACAGATATGCTTTCAACTCGCATTTTATAAACTTGACGTGCTAAACAGGGGTAACGTTTATACATAGGTTGGATCTTATGCCATCGCTGTGTTTCATATTTGGGACCTGTAACTTTGGGGCCAACGTATGTAATGTTACTTTTGGCCCCCCCCCCCCCTATAGTCTCACTAATTTGACTTCTCTTCCTACTAGGTGTCTAAATATGGCAAGGTGTGAAGCTTTCATGATCGTTTACAAAGGGAGTATTGGTTATAAACAAGTCAACTGGTGCTGGTGTAAGAGCCGGAAGTATGGTGTAGGAGCAACCCGTTTGGTAAACATTAAAGCAGCTAATATGGACTGCTTCATAGGTTGGTTCTATTAGAAATTTTAACTCAACATCAGATGTTAAGATATAATGAAACCGATTTTCTTAGATTTAAAACAATATCCATTAATTTTTCATGTTTCTGATGTTTAGAAGTGAAGTGTATTAATTTATCCATATCACGAAACTATGATATCTATTATCTAAGCTATCAGTTTTGATTTTTGCAGTATATTCTTTACATATTTTATTTCTCCTCATTCTTTGTTAGTAATAAGATATTATTCATTAGATAACACAGATGTAAAAAAGTTGCAAGGATCTGGAGCTGTTTTTAACGAACTTACACTGGGAATATTACAAGGTATTTATCAGATCTGAATATAGAGTTTAGAGTTTAGTTTAGGATTTTACCTATAATATTTAGAATACACACGACACCA